CCTCCCCCATCCTTGAGGGAAGTCCATATGGTGTTCCCAGGAAGCCATATGGAGCCCAGCAACACCTCCTCTGCTTGAAGACAGCTGTGTGTCACTGTCCCATCCCATGTTGGCCTCCTTATATCCATCTGGTCCCATTTCCCAGTGAGGCCAAGGGAGGGGAGAGGGGAAGGCCCTGAGTCCCCTTACTTGAGTGAGTCTACACAAGGTCCACTGAGATTGGTAAGGGGTGACTGTGCTAAGATTCCATACCTCTAAGTTCATGACCCCAGCTAGCAGCTTCTAAGGTTCCCAAATTGACCACAGAAGTTCCAGGACCCAAGAGCAGACTGCTGTGATGAATTTCTAGTAAGCTCTGGGCACCCTGAACAAGCCAGACTCCCAGGTCCCTGAGTCACACTGGCTCTGGGGGAGACTGAGGTGCAGGGAGGGAAGGTTCTAGAATCCACGTCAGTGGTGATGAGCTTGGGTGCTGTCTCCCTCTTTGCCTAAGCCTTATTTGGAGGTGCTTCCGCTGCGTGGGGTGCTGGCTGGCACATTTGCTAGCTGCTCAGAGTTCCTCTTGCTTGGTTATTTTTAGGGACTGGCAAAGGGAAGCCCGAAGCTTCTCGACTATTCAAGAAGCTTTGAGTTAAAAATCTGGGACCCTGGGAGTCCCTAGGAACTAATGGCCGCAGTAGGGAATCTTAGACCTAGAGAAGGCATGTGAGGCATTGTGAAGAGCAATCTTTACTCCCTTTCCCAGTGAGGCAGCAGAGCCCACCCTCAGCACAGTTGCTCTATACAGACCCAGCTAGAACCCTTAAAAGGCTCCATGACCAAGTCTGGGATGCCTCCAGGGTCCTAGAGTCCTCCTCGAGGTATTGGTTCCTTAGGACCAAGGCACTAACAAGGATCTGAGGGCAGAGCAAACCAAGACCACAGGACTTCCCATCTATCTATGAGTATTGTCTGGCTACCACTGACCATGAAAAGACCTAAGGTGTGGTTGAGCCTGGGGTAGGGGTGACAGTTACTGGGCTCTTTGGGTGAAGCATCAACTGCCTCATAACTTCATGGGCATTCAGGGACCCATGAGGAGCTGGCATCTCTTCAGCCCTCACCTTTCAGCATAGCCCCATACTTCCTGAGGCCATAACAGGGAGCAGAGGGTAGGCTAAAGAAGGGAATTCTAACAGAAGACTCTGGAACAAGTCCTAGAGCCAGCATCACCTTGTACATTTGCTCCCATCTGGGTCCAGCCCTTGGCAAGCAGGGCCTGGGGAGGAGACTGGGGGTACACAAAAACACCAAAGGATAGAGTTTCCCAGGGCAGTAGGAACACTCATGTGATGGAGCAGAAGACAAGTAGTTAGATGCAAAGTCTCTTCACCAGATTGGGCCCAGAAAGTGGACAAGAGGTCAGGCATCATGGGAAGGGGCTAGAGCACCTCTCAGGCCCCTGTTAGCAGTGTTCACATTAGTCACAGATGGGGATGAGCAGACAGAACTAGGTAAGGAGGGGCATCCTCCGGATTGGAGGGATGTGGGTGTTGATAAGAACTCAGTACCTGCTAGCAGCTGCTCCTACTGGCTGCACCCACAGTTGACGCAGAGACTTGCTGTCCTTATGTGTCCCTTTCACATACACCCCTCCTTCAAATCCTCCAGTATGTAGGAGCCAGGAACAGTGAACTGTGAGATCCCAGGTCCTAATCTCATCAGCACAATTGTCATCCACAGAGATCACAGTAGCTACTGTCTTCAGCACCACCAGGATGAATGTCAAAGCCACAACCATGACTGTTACCATGACCACCACCAGCATCACCATTACCCTTCCTTATCTCACTAGCATCATTACTAAAATCACCATGACTGCCTGTTGATATTTCCCTATTAACAGTTTTAATCTTACCACCACCATCATCGTCATCGCCATCATTACTATCAACTCCAGTATCATAACCACCGTTATCACCACCTTTCTATTCCCATCACCAGCATCATCACCATCATCACCAGCCTCACTAGCATCATTGCCACTACCATCATGACACCACCATTACTATTATTGTTAACCTTACTATCACCATCATCATCATCACCATCACCACCCTCATCACCAGGAAAATCTCCAGCTAAACTTTCACCATTACCTTTGCCCCCACCATGTTCCAGCCACCATGGTGACCACTATCACCTCAAGTCCCACATCTTCCCCTAAGGTAAAGTAGTACCAATAATGGCAGGTAGAGGGTGGCAGAGCCAGCTCCTCATAGCTTCCTGAATGCCCATGAGGTTATAAAGAGCCAAGTAACTGTGGCTCCCAGTGTTTGGGGTTCACTGGAGACAGGTTGCTAAAATGGGTGGCACAGGTACTGAGAGGCTAAATCAGCGGACTCATGCAGTAAGGGCCCAGGAAGATATCCTTAGAGGCCCAGACAGCTTTGGGTTCCACAGGAAAGGAGTACCTTGTGGTGGTAGAAGCAACTGAGAATGGTGTCCGTGCCTTCAGGAAAGACAACCATTGGGAGAGCCATTGGTGCCACGAGAGTTGAGTCTAGGCACAGTTCCTCCTGACCTGTAGGGTACCAGCAGCATCCTCTAATCTTGTTCCTCACTGTAGATGAGATCTGACCCTGCTTGCTAGGTGTCAGGAGCATAGCACTCCATAGAGCTGGAGGAAGAACAAAAGGACCTGAAAGAGGTCCATGGAGAGGCCACTGTCCCCATGAGAGTTCTGCGCCAAGGCAACACGCAGTACAAAACTCCCTCTGGGATGTACATGGAGCCTGTTGGAGTGGGACCTGCTGGAGCAAAGCCCCAGGTACTGATGGAGTAGAGCCTTTGCTGGCCAGATTCTTATGCCAAGCAATTTCTGTGATGAGTCATTCCAGGAGGAGGCAGCAGAATCCTGGGCAGCCATGAATCCTGGGCGTCTCTTAGCACAAATAGCCCTCCAGGGGGAGGACCTGCAGAGGAGGAGAGAGCTGCTTCTGGACACACACTGCAATTTCATAGAGCCTTGACTCCAGCAGTCTCCAGTGTTCTGAGTTGCACTTCATGCAGAGAGTGTGAGGGGCTGGGGTACTCCTTTTTGCTTTGTGTTTTGTTGGTGGTGGTGCTGGGTGGTGTGGTTAGGGAGCTGTCTAAGGATGCTTGGTCGCTCCATGAGGACAGTGGTAAGTCAGAGCTGAGCTCAGCCCTCTGGACCCAGACCTGGTCCATATGCACATGCTTCCTGCATAGGCAGGGTGCTGGAACCCCAGGACCTACTATACCTGTACTCATAGGTCCTCCATGATTTTCTTATTCTTAATAGTCAGGGGCAAGGAGGGGACCATGGCTACTGAACTCATAGGAAGCCCTCCAGCTCTGGAAGACAGGGCCAATGTACAGATTATGTGGTGTAGTGTGATAGTGATATTCCATGCAACCTGCAGGGGACACTGTGGTGAGGCTCAGAAGCCTTTCCATTGCCTAACGTTTGCACATGTGCACGCAGTTCGTGTTAGCCATACACATGGTCAAGGCTGGATCATATTTTGTTGCCAAAACATTAGGTTTTTTTCCTTGTTTGTGGTCTGCTGTTAGGGTCTGTGCTAGGCTCTACACACCCTTCTCTGGGCATCTGGGGACATGTCACTTCTCACCATTCACCCACCTGTGTTTGTGCACCCAGAGTGTGCGTGGCCATCACAGTTACCTAAGCTCACTGTGGTCACTGTACCAACACTGTCCATCCATATCCTGTCTCTGCTTGCTAAAAAGGCTTGTGTATGGTGTGTGTCAAAGACATATCCACCGTAAGATTAATAGGAATGAAGGGAGAATATTTAGGTGAGGGTATGAAAGCAATCCATACCAGGTTGTATCCTTTTCCCGACTCTTGGCATTTTGGGGTGCTAGGGGCTATATCCCTCAGGACCAAGTCTGTATCTGGGTTCCAGTTCAAGTTGCGGTCTGAAGGAGGGGCCTAAAGAGTTCTTCTGTCTGCAGAGGTTCAGGTTTGTGGAGTCCAGGGCTTGGGGAAAGGAGGGGCCTCCTGGATTCCCAGGCAGGCTCCTGCAGTGGCTTAGGCTGCCACCTGCTGGAATTTCTGGGAAATGCAAAAATGCTAAAGCTGGGGCAGCATCAGGGAAGGTGGCTCTGGTGATCTGACTATGCTCATATTCCCCCTCCCATGTCCACCCTGTGGATGGATAGGGTCACTATGGCCTGAGGACAGAAAGCACTCAGTGATGGACAAAAAGGAGTCAGTACTGGGCTGTCCAGAACAGTGGGGCAGGCCTGTCCAAGATGGGTTCAGGGAGGCTTCAGGTAAGAGAACCCTAGACTCCAGCTACACATTTTGCTTCCTTTCACCATTTCCGGTTGCTTTTTTAAAGTGCTACCTGTTAACTCTGTCCTTCCCAGGTGACTCGGGGATCTGGGAGTCCAATGCTCCTGAGGTAGAGAACTGAGGTTAAGTCCAGACTCTGAGGACCATGTAGAGGGTAGGCATGCAGGACAGGAGCAGCCCAAAATGGCTACTGAATGGGGCCAGGCTGCTATAGAGAAGGAATAGACAACAAAGCACTGGGTTTTTAATTCTTTTTATTGAAGAAAAGAAAAGGAGAGAAAAAATAGATTCCCCACCCCGCTTCTTTCCAGAGTGGCCTCAGTCCTGCCCCTGGGTCTCTGGGTCAGGACCATGCTCTCTGCCTGGGTCTGAGAGGAGCCCAGGGTCCTGGAAGGGAGTGGGGGGGGGGGGGTCTGGCTGCTTCCCAAGGGGTAGGGGTGTCTAAAAAACGGAGCCAGGCTGGCGGGCCACAGGCAGTCTTCTGCAGTGGTGGCTGAGGTGGGCATCCTGGGGACGCTGGCCACACCAGACCTGTCCATGTCCACAGCCGCCCGCCTGCCTGCCCGGGCTTGCCCAAGGAGGGCAGAGTCTGAGGCACCATCTGGCCTCTGGAGCCCTGTGCCCGTGGGCCATGCCACCTCCTGTCCTGTGTCTGGCTCTGGTCCCAGCACCGCGGGCCCTCCGCCTCTGAGCGCCCTGAGACCGGGGCTGGACCCGGCCCGCCACCGCGAGCGCATCTGTGCCCGACCTATGGCGGAGCGGGCAGAGCAGCTTCCCACCTGATGGCCCGGTGTGGGGCCACCGCCCGCCCGCTCAGACCTCGGTCTGGAGATCAATGATGTCCTGGCCAACCAGTGGGATGGTGGCACCCGCCTTCTCCCACTCCACACTCCGAAGCTCCAGTGGAGAAGGGGGCAGTGGCTCTAGCTCCTTCTTCACCCACGCAGGAGTCCCGTGGGGCTTGCGGAGGCTCTCCCAAGCCCTCTTGTTGGGAGTCTGCTGTTTCTCTGGCTACTCGATGCCAGCGGTGTAGGCAGGGCAGGGGTGAACGGGAGTGATTCCATGGGAGAGAAGGGAGAAGAGGGAGGAGGGCTCTTAGGGAGGGACTCCAAGAGAGCAGCAACTCATGCATCTCACAGCCCATCTTGGCAGGAGCTGCAGCCAAGCAGGGTCAGAGCTGTGGGAACTGATAGTCTGGAACCTGCCAGACAGGGCCAGGCTCAGGCTCTCCCAACCCTGCCCTTTAACATAAGGCAGATGGCACAGGGAAAGGCCATCCAACAACCCAGTGAATGGGGGTGTGCAGGGAGTGGGTGGAGCAGAGCCCACCCTTCTGACCTTGCTGTCTGCGCCTGGCACTTCCTTCTCCTTCTCTGCAGCATGCTGCAGCTTCCGGTTCAGGTCCTGGAACATGTCCTGGTGTCGCTTCCGTGTGTGCATGATCTTCTGTGGGTTGGGGCCAGGAGTCCTGAGCCAGGATGGGCATCCACAGCCACCCCTTTGTCCCACCTGCTGTTGGCCCCTGAACTCTAACTTGGAGCCTTTCCCCAACTCCCACTTGCTGAAAAGGCTCTAAGCACCCAGCCTGTCTGTCCAGAGAGAGGCACCTGCACTTACCTCAAAGTCCAGTTCTGCATACCGAGATTTCCGCCGCTGCAGGAGAGAAGGTTGTGTGCATGGGCAATGTGTTCCCTAAAACTGCCTAGACCACACATCCAGGCCCCCCTGCCTGACAGCTGGGGAGACACCACCCTGCCTTCAGGGGATATGCTGAGGGTGTATCAGGTACCAGGTTGCCTGTTCCCTAGGGGTACAGGCCCAGCTCTGGGTCCAGAGGGTATGCTGAAGACCAAAAGCTCCTGACAATGATGAAATGAGAGTAAGGTCTCAGCTCTTACTCCAAGGCTACCCTAAGTTCTTTGTGTCACTGCTCAAGGCCTATTTGCCCTTGTCCTCCCTCTGAAGTGTCCAGCTTAGCCAGGACACACAGGTCAAGGAGATCTAATCTAGGGGCCACAAGGTTGGAACCCTAACAGTGAACTCAGGGTGCTAGCTGCACCTAAGAGATCGAAAGCTAGACAGTGGCACATCCTTGAGTCGGGCAAGGGCTCCCCAAGGGTCCCATCCTGACCTCAGTCCCATGTCCTAAGGCCTGAACAAGGTTCAGGGGCTGTATAAGCACCAGGCTGACCACAGAGACTGTTGCTATGTGAAAAGGGCTCAAGTACATACAGATTCTGCTCCTGGGCCAGCCCTACCCATTTCTGACACACTCTGAGCCTACATGGCATGAAAGTATTAGCCTTTGGCTGGGGGTCCACCAATGTCTGCTCTGCAGACTCTGAACCACCCTCACCTCCAGGGAGCTCACTGACAGGGTGGCCACGTTCTCATTCTTGGTCCCAGCACCTGAACTGGGTCCTGGGTGGGCCGCAGGTTCCCCTGTGTCCCCCAGGCTAGGAGGTGCAGGCTCCAGGGTGGGTGGTGGGGGTAGGGGCTGCTGGGGTGGAGGGGGTGGTGGAGGTGGAGGTGGTGGGGGCTGGGCAGGGGGCACCTCAGGGGTTACACCACCTGGGGGCTCACGGGTAGGTGGGCTACGGGTAGGGAAGCTGGCATCAGGTGCCATGCTAAGGTGGATGAGGCGTGTTTGGGGCATCTGGTCAATGTTGATGCTATACTTGGGTTCCTCCTTGGGTTTGGGCCTCAGTGTGGCCGTGGCTGTGGGCAGGATCACGTAGCTCGTGTCCAGAGCCTTCTCCTGGGCCCGGCTCAGCTCTGAGTCCAGTTTCTTGAAGATGTCCCCATCTCCAATAAAGGAGGACTTGGGAGCCTTGTCCTTTTTGAGGGTGAGAGAGTGGTTGGGGAAGTCGGGCAGTGGCCCACCGGGGTAGCGGGGTGAACCGTGCAGGTGCAGCTTGGACACATTGGCTGGCAGGCTGTTGAAGGTGGGGGGTGGGCCCTTGGCCAGCTTGAGTTTCTCCTCTTCAGGCAGTGATGGTCGCTTGAAGGTGCCTGTGATGGTGGCTGTGCGGCAGGCAGCGATATCTTTGTTCAGTACTAATGGGGAGCATGGGAAAGGACAACAGAAAGGAAGAGGGTCAGAATAGTGAGGCTGGCCTGCAGCAGCAGGGGCTCAGGCTGGCCAACACTGCTGCCACCCTGGTCTTGATCCACACCAGACCCATGCTTACTTGAACAACCAAAATTCCTTTGCCTTTTCTAAGGAGGCTGGCCCCCTCAGGCCTCTGCCTGCCTCTCAAGACAACCAGAGACTGTACCTCATTGTCAGCCTATCATGGCAATTCTGAAAGGCATGTGAGGGCGCCCTCTGCTGGAAGGCACAGGAACAAGGTACCTCAGAGGGAGCAGAGCAGCTTCTCATAGTGAGACCCCAGCTCCCCTGCAGTGCTCCCCCCTGCACATGAGTCCTTGCAGGGAGGTTGTGCTTGGCATAGACACATCAGCTCCAAGGACCACGAGAAGCAGCACATAAGCTCAACCCCTCAGAAGGGCTCTCCTGCCTTGCTTGCTCCTCTGCCTTGATAAAATCCTTCTTAAAGTTCCCACCCATCCACTTCTCTTGGGTTAGCTATCCCAAACTGTCCATCATCTGGCCTGAGCTCCAGCTCACCATACATCCCATCTGACACTGGACCATCAACTTGGCCCCAGTGGCCAGTACAGTACCAGACTAGCTCTGAGCCAAGGCAGCTATCCACACTGGGAACACTCTCCAGAGCAAGGTCATATCCCCTTCTTAGGAAACCTGGCCCCGTACTGCATACTGCCTGTTCTGGTCACACCTAGCCCAGCCTTGGGGCCCACCAGCAGCTCTTGTGATATCATCAGCTATGTTCACGAACAATATCTTAGTTTCCCAGACCAAAGGTCCCTCTCCCCAGCTCACCTTCAATGACAACCTTTGGCTCTTTCAGACTATCACCCAGCGTGGCAGTGTGAGTATTATATTTGAATGCCTAGTCATCAGGGAGTGAAACTATTTAAATAGGATTAGGATGTGTGGCCTTGTTGGAGGAAGCATGTCATTGTGCCACTGGGGGTGGGCTTTAAGGTTTCAAAAGCCCATCTATGCCTAGAGTCTCTCTGCCTGTGGATCATGATGTAGCTCTCAGCTACTTTGCCAGTGCCTGCTTGCATGTCACCAAGCTCCCCACCATGATGATAAAGTACTAAATTTCTGAAACTGTAAGCAAGCCCCCAATAGCTTTCTTTAGTAAGAGCTGCCTTGGCCATGGTGTCTCTTCATAGCAATAGAACAGTAACTAAGATACCCAGCAGTGTCTTCCTGTAACCCTTTCCAACACCCCAGCAGTGGACTAGCTATCATTCCTATCAATCTGTATGCCTAACCCCAAGAGTATCTCAGCACCATCTCAAGGCACACAGCCCATCCCTGCCTCTCTCAGCAGGGACTCGTCCCACCGTGGACACATATCCACAGACACCTATCGTGTGCCCATCAGCTACATTCAGCCCATAGCACCCTGTGCTCAGGCACAACTGAGTGAAGGGAGCCCAGAGCACACCACCAGGGTGGGCTGGCATCCATCCCCCAGTGCCAGAGTCATCTCTTGGTTAGGATATGGAACTGGATCACTGAAGATCAAGGAAGATGTTTTTGGCCCCATCCCAAGGTTATCTCCTCCAAGAACCCAACCCCAGGCAGCAGTTGACATTCCCCACTTGGGAACCAGATGGAGTCAGGCCAGATGGCCCCTCCACAGCAAGGGACCATCTGCTATTGCCCTGGCCCCTGGTCCTTAGGAACATGACTTTGCTTCTAGGAAGCTCAGTGTTAGCCAAGGGTCCCAATAGCAGTTCCTTCCCCTTGCTTTCCTCTCGCTACTGAGGTCTCACACTCTCAAAAGGCAACCTGCCTTTCCCCCACCCCAGGTTAACGATGAAGACACAAAGACAACACAGAACATGGGTGCTTGAGGGAGGGCAGGTAGGAGGCAGGTGACAATGGAGTGTACAGGCAGAGGCAGGAACAGGGCTGGATCTCACGCAGAACTGGCCTGTCTGCTCTGCCCTGTGAGGGGAAAGGGAGAGACAGACAGGTGAAGGGTACCAGTGATGGTCCCAGCCCAGCATGGGCTCCATGACACCTTTCTTGGGCTCATACCCACAGGACTCCTGAAGCCTTGGGGAGGAGGGAGCCCAGGCTGGACCATGTGGCAGTGGGCGTGGGATGGGGACAGGTAGGGCACACAGATGTTGAAGTAAAGAAAGAAGCAGATGGGCCAACTGGCCACCATGGCTCTCACCTGTCAGGCGCTCACCTGATCTACAGGCCAGATCCACATCCTTCTCAAAGTCAGTCTGCAAGACAGAGACCGAGGGCAGGATGAGGGCAGGGCTGGTGGCAGGTTGGGTTGCAACCTGCAAGGTGGTAGGAAGGGGGCCACCAGAGCCACACACACACCGCAGAGGTCACAAATATACTGATATTGTCACCATAAACTCCAGCCCACATTATTAGTCCATGGGCCACCTGGTGTGGCCATGCATCTGTATGCCTGTCTATGCAAGCATGGGTGTGTCTGCCAGCATTCACATGCATGTGTGAGCTGTATTTCTGTGTATTTATGGTATTTGTGCCTTTGTGAGGGCAGAGGACTGTACTGTGTGAGCATGAACATGTATATTGAGAGTAGCATTGTGTTTATGATTCGCATATGAGCCAGCCTTTACATCTCTGCATTTATATGAAGGATCATATGCACGTTTCTCCATGCATGTGTTTGTGTCTACCTGTGTGTGCGTGCAATCAACCATGCGTGTTCTTCATTCAAGACATTATGGAGCAACTGGCCTCTGGCCTCTGGCCATGCCCCCCAAAGCCATGCAGCCACCAGGGCTTCAAGAGCCTCTGCCATTCCATCCAAGACAGACAGCAGGGGACAGACACAGACCTGGGCCAGCACCAGCCTCCCCTAAAGCAGAGACATGGTCCCCACTGCATCTCTGAGGACAGCAGCTGGGGAGGCCATGGTGGTGACCCAGGGCCACCTTAGGAGCTTGGGTCTAGAAGACCCATCCAGAGGCCACAGGGCTCCAAGGGGGTCAGTCTGGCCTTTAATCTCAAACTGGAGGTCTTTCCCTGAAATGCAGGAGCCAGGATGCTGGGAAGGTGGCAGTCTTCCCCTGAGGTTAGAGGCTGGGCCAGGAGAAACATCAAGACGAGGGAAAGCTGTGTCCCCAAATGACAAAGTACCTGTCCAGCTGACACTTGTTCCCTCTAGATGGTGGCACTGAGGCCCAGAGGGCTGGCCCTGTGTAGACACCACCTGGAATGCTCCCCAGTGCCTCACCCCTGGGGTGCTGAACACCTGGGACAACATAATGGGTGATGCCAGGGGGCAGGAAATTGGTCACAGAGCCTAGGGCTCTGCTCAGAGGCTATTATGCCTAGATCCCATAGTTGAAGTAGTCTGTATAGGTAAACTCACAGTTGGCTTGTGCACAGTTCTGGACGGGCAAGCTTTGAAGAAGGTAAGGATGCACACCAGCCCCCACCCAACTCATCAATAGCCTTACCCAGCTCAAAACCCTGGATCAATGATTTCAACTTGGCCTCAGTTCCCCCAATTACAAACTGGGTCCAGAGTTCATCTAATAGGGCTGCCAGGGCCCAACAGAACTCTGGGCACAGGAAGGACCTAGAGGTCTCTAGAGGGACAGCTTGCATCCCCAGGCAATTAGTCCTACCATGAGCTGAGCATGGCCATTCTGGAAGGAGCCCCCTGAGTCCCCGTTGCCTTCTTCTTGGCGGTCTACCACACGACACTTTACAGCATCCTGGACCTGGAGGAGGGAAAGCGTGTCAGCAGAGAGCCACAGCCTCTCAGAGAACCCTCTGCAACAGCAGTCTCTGCAAGAAGCCTCTTTGTAGCCCGGTAGTGCCCCTTGTGCTAGGAGAAAGGATGTAAGATGCAAACATTAGGAGTTTCTGATGCTGGGAAGAAGCTGCAGACTCCACTGACTGGAGGCCACTGTAAGAACATTAGCCTAAGGCAGGTACCTGGTTTCAGGGCCATTTGGAACCCCCAAAACCCATCCTGACTCAAGGAAGACTGTATGGACAAGGCTAAGGCCAGCCACAAGGCCAGCACAGATCTTGGCAAGAAGAGTCACCTAAGGAAGTGGCTAATCACCCAGGACAATCAGTTTGAGGAAGTACACAGGATCCAACACTATTCCGAAATCCAGACTCTGTAGATAGCTGTGAGGTGCTGAGACCAGCAGCAGACACCATACACAAGGGCTGGTTTCATGTGCTTATTCTGCCCAACAGGGAGTTTTAAGCCCTTTTGCTGTTGTTCACATCTTAATTTCCTGATCACAAGGCTTTGTGCAGATTCCACCCCTAGGGCCAGATCTTAGTGGGATATTTTGCTATTCTGCTGACATATGTCCTGTTACCTTCCCAAAGTTCCTACTTTCAGTTAGCTGGCCCTGCAGACACCAGAACACTAAGGGAGGAGCAGAGGGAAAGAATGTGACTCCAGAGCAGATCAGTGACTTTACAATATGAGGCTAGACTTCACCTGCCTGTGGGTTACAAGTCACGGCATCTGGTTTGTGTGTGTGTGTGGGGGGGGGCTACCAAGAATTGTGGATGCAGTGCTCAGGTGACCAGGGCAGGGGTGGCTCAGAAGTCGAGCTCTCTCTGTGAGCTGCCGTGGTGCCTGGTGGCTTCTCACAGTAGTTTCCCACAGCTAAGTGAAACATGACCAGCAAAGGGAGGTGGAAGGAGGATACAGGCTTTATGGGAAGCCTTCTCTCCAAGGGTGCTCCTCCCGAGCCTCCCTAGAGGGCCAGTGGCATCTGACCTCTTCTCTGTCTGCCAGCCAGTCCCTTCTGTCCACTGAGGTCTCTGGTTCCTGCAGCTACAGTCTATACTTGTCCTCTTATACCCGCTGCAGTTTAAAAACCTTAGCAGCATTCTAGGAGGTTCTGAGGAAAATGGAGGCAGCAGGCTCTCCCTAGGCCCAGCCATGTCCCGACTCTTTCTGGAGCAGAAGTTGGTCTGTTGAGTTAAGAGACACTTCTGTCCACAGTGCAGCCGCCTCTCTGGGGTTAGGACAAACAGTCTCGTGACTGCCTCCTGCTGGTGGCCACCAGGACATAGTTGGATAGGAAACTCATGTTCTCACCTGAAAGGTTCAGAAAATGCCACAAGCATCTAGGTCTGCCCTGCCAGCCACAGATCTCCCAGAGCTGATGAGGCACCCTTGAAAATAAGCTGTCTTCCAAAAGGGGGGCCATTCCCCACAACCTTGGCTACATGCTGGGCACAAGCCCACCTAGAGCGGATACAGTGGGTCCCCAGGCCCAGGGCGCCCACCTCTCTGCGCAGAATGCAGTGCACCATCACGATGACGAAGCCCTCCAGTGAGTCAAAGACAGCGAAGAGGATCTGGAAGAGGGCGGAGCGGCGGTCGGTGACAGCAAGCACAGCAGACATCCAGGTCAGCGCCAGCAGCGGCAGCACCACGCAGGAGCTCCACAGGGAGGCCCTGGGGATAGAGGGTGTCAGGGCGGCCCCGTGGGCGCTCCACCTCTCCTGAGGACACCCTTTTTCCCCATCCCCAGGCCTGAGGGCTTTCAAGGGACCCAGCAAAGTAGAGGAGCTCTTTGGGAGAGAACTTGGACCCTGTCCAGGAGGTAACAGAAGGGAGACAGATAGGAAGCGCACAGGGATGGGAGAGATGCACGGAGCAAGGTAGCCCCTGATTCCATCTTCCACGCCCTGGATCCAGAGTTCCAGGGCCCCAACTGCAATACAAGATGGCTGTGGGAGACAGGAGTCTTGGGAGATACTAAGAGAAGGAGAGAGAAAATGTGAGGGAGAAACAGGACAGACAGTGGACAGCTGGACAAGGCCAGAGGGTCAGAGAAGAGACCAAGACAGACAGAACAGACACAAAGGGTGTTCTTCCTCTTCTGGGGCTGCAGCTACTCTCCTGCATCTCAGTGCCCTCCTGTGGCCCTGACCTGAGCCACCCTGTCTTCAGCCCTCATTCTCTTCTTGGAGCACCTGGCTGGCATAGGGACCTGGCAGCCCAAGCCTTTCATCCTCTCCATCAGAACCTGGCTTGCCCGTCAACCACCGAGCTTTCCCCCATGCTCATGTGGCGACATGGTGTTGCCTTGAGGCTGTGGGGCATGCGAGTGCTTAAGAACTGTCCTTTGACCCCAACCTCAGCACCACCGTGGTTCCCAGGAGCCACTGTGGCCTGTCTACAGCCCCTGTCATTTCCAGGAGTCAGGCGGACATCAGGATGACTTGTTCCTCCTCTCTCGGGGGTCATACTGTCCCCCCAAAGGGAGCAGATGGGAGAAGAGGACTGAACACTGAATGGGATCTAGGGTAGCAGAGATTGTGGGAGAGTTCAGAGAACCCACCGGCCCAGCTGAGCAGAGAATCCCCCAAACTCCCAATAAACCAGAGTGTAGCCCTGGTAGGGGTTCCTATGTGGGGTCTGGCCTTGCAAATACACAACCATCCTCACCTTCTTGGTCCCTGAGGTCACACAGCTGGCTACAGTAGCCCTTTAATGTGGCCTTTTCCAAGCCTGCTATGAAGCCATGCTACACTGACCCCGGGAAGCTTCCTGCCCCTAGCCACAGCTGTCATCACTTGGTGAACTGAGTAGCCACCTGTGGCCTGGGCACTCAGGACTGGTGCTCTCAGCCCTGCCCTGCTGATCTCTGTCAGCTCACCTAATGCCCTTAAGTGTGGGCTCCATTTCCAGTCAACTATACAATCCATCACCTCCCTCTTAGAGGGAGTCCCATGTGAGGCACAAAGCCCCAACTCCTGGGTCCCTGCTAACCCCACCCATGGTTTTGAAGCTGAGGGTGGTGTGAGGCCTCCTGAATAGTGCCAACTATCCCACCTCCCTCCCTCATGGCCGCAGAAGCCAGAAGTATCCCCCTACTCCCCTCCATCCGTCCCTGAAGCTGGAACAGAGCAACAGCAGGCTGGCCCTCTAGTAAATGACTTCCAGTTGTCCGTAGGACTGTTCTCAGCTCTAGACATATTCCCAGCACAGACAGCACTGAGCCCTTAACACCTCCCCTCCCCTTCAAAGCAGACATTCTTTGAGCTGGGTCCCCTGACACCTCATGTCACCTGCATTTGGTGCAGGAACAGAGCGCTCCATCAGCACAGACCCCGTGGCTTCCCACAAGCTCAGCCCTGTCATTTCTCTATCTCCTCTGACTACCAGTTTCCAAATCACTTCTCCAGGAACCTGGAGGAAGAGGAGCCACAAGCTCCCTAAGAACTCAAGCTACCCCAGAGCACCAAAAGAGCTCCACTGAGGCCTGGGTGTCACCGCCTCTGGCTGCTGCCTGACCTTCAGGATCCCAGGACGCAGCTGCTTAGCTTAGGCTGGACCCTACCTAGGAAGACCGCTGATCCAAAGGTGACCACTGGGGCTCAAAGCAGTGTGGGGCCCAGAGTTAGAACGGGCTCCTCTACTTGGCTGGGTGCTCTACCATGCGCATCCTCTAACCATCCAGCCTAATCTAGCCCTCATAGCTGTCTGAGGTACCAAGAGTTATGGGCTCCACTGCCTGCTCAGAGTGAACACCAGGACCCGAGAGGGTTAGTGTTTTGGGTCTCTGCCACTGCTATGACCTGAAGGAGGCAGAGGCTTGGACATGATGACTTTCTATGCTAAACTCCACCCACCCAAAATACAATGATGTTGTCATAGCCAAGTCAGTGGATCAACATCCCTTGTTGTTGGTGTCTTGTTCCCATGGCTGTATCTTCGTGTCCACACAGACACACAGCACATATACCCACAGGGGCAGCACTTCTCGGTTATACAGGTTTCTATACATCTTTGTCCATGCCCAGTTAATTTCTTACAGTTATAAACTTACAGGTACAACTCTCCCCCCGCCCCCCACACACACATACTCACACTTGCACACTTTTTCCCCATGTCTGCACATACCAGTCACTCTTACACTTGGACATCCCTGTGCATAGTAGCACACTGTCCACACAACCAGCTACTCTCACATATGGGAACCTCTATGCACACTTGCATTCTGTGAGCATGCCCAGTCCCACACATAGCCACCATCCCTATGTACACTGGCACATACATACTGTATACATATCCAGCTACTCTTATATGTGAGCAACGGGCACAGGTTCATTATCTGTCCCCTAGCCCCCAACCCCCCCCCAAACACTCATATACACACACTCACATGACTCCATTCCCTATCCACTTGTCTTGAGGAGGTGGCAGCTGAGGCCAGGTTCTGGGCAGCATTGTTGAGGGGGGAGGATCTAGGAGCAACAGGAAGCAGTACAGGCCCGCTCCAAATGTCCTTGGATTCAGTCCCATTCTACTACCTTAGCTGACCCACTCCTTGCCTCCCAAGTGTCTTATATGCTGCAAGCAAGCAGGCCTTGAGTTGGGAGAGCTGAGCTTGCAGGTAGAGGGCAGGTAAAGGGCAGGGCTGCCTTGGAAATCCAGAAGGGACGGCAGAAATGAAAGAAATGAAGGAAAAACATAAAACAAATAAATTGACTCAGGAGATGGCAGAGCCCATACAGGGCTGCTCCAAGGTGGCAGCAAGGCACTAACATGGCATTACTGGTGGCTTCGGAGGTGGCTTCGGCAGCAGAGAAGACTCCGCACTCGGCACACGTGAGGGCACGCCCGAGGGGGGCCACGGGCAGCTGACTGCAAGTGAAATCAAAGGCTGAAACAAAAGCAAACAAGTTCCCTGGAAACCGCGAGGCGAGGAGCAGAGATGGCAGCCTGGGGCTCTGTCATCTAAGGGATCCAGTGAGATGGGCAGGACTGCAGGCTGTCAGCATCTGCTGACTGGCAGCATGCCTGAGACTCTAAGTGTAGACAGCAGCAAGATCTGAAGGAGGCCTGATGCCCCTCTCCTCTCACATAGGAATGCCAGATTGCCAGATGTTATCACATAGGCTGGGTCATGGAGGAGGGTCCACCTGCAGGCCTCACAAGGACAGCAGAAATAGGCTGAGCTGTATGGCAGCCCTGTCCGTGTCTGTGTGTGTCTGTGTGCGGTGTGGTGTGCATGCGCACACAGCACATGGGTGCCTTACCATCTAGGTATTGGCCCAGGACACCCATAATTGGGGTCTAATTCCAGCTCCCCCAGCTTTCCCTAGTCCCCACACCTCTGTTTACTCTGATATAAGGGGATATAGACTTGGCAGCTTCTTGGTGGCTATTCTAAGAACAAATCAAGCAGGCCAGTGCTGGAGAGTCCAAGGAGACCTCCACACCTACAACTCAGGCACAGCTCAACCCACGTGTGTGGGGCCCCGACACTGATGTGGGCCCACTGTTCTGGGGCAGACAGCAAGGCTAAGGCTAGAAGCTCATGCCCAAACTCTGTCACAGAGCACCAAGTACAGTAAAAGAGCTCCTTTAGCCTACTCAAGGGCTCTAACCAGGGCCAGAGCCCACCAGGCACCCAGAGAAGTCACTGGGCAGAGAAGGAGGAACCAGAAAAAGAGACAGTGAGAGACAGAGAAAGACACCAAGCAAGACAGGCACAGAGGGGAAGGGCGGGGTGGGACCCCCACAAAGACAGCAGCACACTAGCTGTGGGAGGTAGAAGGTGGGACAGGAAGAACTCTGGGTAGGGCAAGGCTACCACCCCAATTTCCTGTGACCCTATATGTCCCTAAGCTGAGGCAGCAGTGACCCCCATGTCATCCCTCACTCCCAGGACAGCTCACAGAGTAGGTGCCTGAGTAGTGTGGGAGGAACGATGTCCCCCCGCCCCCACCTCCCCATCCCTAGCTGTCCTCCCACGATGAAGGCACCAGGTCTCTTACGGGATTCAGGGAACAGGAGAGCACTCCAAGCCTTAGACCTGGGGTATCCTTCCACCAGCCTGAGCCCAGCACTGGGGCTCTCTTTAAGAAATGAGCTTGGAAAAATTTTCTGGAGATGCTACAGAGTCCTACCTTGTTACAGGTCAGATAAAGGAACTGAGGCACAGAGCAAGACAGAGACGGACTGGCTAGAAAAAGCCTTTGTATTCTGTGCCCCGGTTTCCCAACCTGCTCCAGGACACCTGAATTGTCAGACTGGACTTGGGACTTAATGGTCGATGGGCTCTGGCTCTTTCCAGCCAAGAAGGGCAAGGTGCCAGGGCCACAGGGCCTACCCTGCCCGCTCCTTCAGCTTCTTGTCCGTGATGCCGTCCTTGGACACGAGCTTGTTGAACACCAGGATCCCGATCACCATGTTCACCTGCCGGGCAGAGGCAGGAGTGGGCCAGAGCCCATGGGTGCCCAGATCAGCAACGGCCATGCCCAGGATGTCCACAGTCCTCCAAGGGTTACTCATGTGTCCCCACAATTCAGAGCCCAGTGTCAGCCAGGCGGATCCATCCAGAACCCTGTCCTCAATGTAACCCACACCACCAACACCCCTCTCTTGGACCCTGAGGATGGCGAGCTCCTAGCCTAGGACCAAGATGGCTTCATTGGCTGATTTTGGGTGCCTCATGTTCCCGATCTCCTCCAATCCCACTGACCCTCACTGACAATTTCCCTGGGTGCCTCCAGAGGGTTTCTTAGGGCCTCAGGTGCATCTCTAAGCTGCTAACCAAATTACTACACAAGATAAGAATCATTTCCAAGTCTACTGTCAGAGCCTCTGTGTCCTGGGAACTCTGGCGCCTTGCCTCTCTGGCTTTCTCTGCCAGGATGTGGCACAAGGGACAAGGCCTTGCTCAAATCTTAATTTTTATCCCTTTTTATCCTTAGGTATTTTTTTTTTTAAAAGAAAGGCTGCCAGAACCCCAAGGCCTAAAGGGCAAAGGTCAAGGTAGGGAGGTACTCTGAATTCTCATGCTGGAGATAGTGCCCAGAGGCCTGAGCCTGACAGTTTCCATGAGTCTGCAGTCAGGATTCCACACACAGGGGCCTGTCTCCTGGTACAGCCCTGCCTCCTAGCTTGCTGACCACACAGCTGGGTCGCAGGTGTCTTTCCAGGCCAGGCTACCCTCCTACAACAGGGTCCTGTGATGCATGTGGAGAAGCAGGGGTAGGAACTTTTTCCTCAATAGCCCCTCACACAGACCCTGGAGCTTGTCGGTCGGCAGCTACCCTCTGAGGCCAGTGATGTCCACCTGACCTTCCATTTGGGTGCCTTAGAGGAGAAAGAAGCAGGAATTCTGGCAGCCATCCAAGGCCTCTACCCACCTACACACCCTCCCCAGACCTGCTACTCCAACTCTGCAGGGTCAACTACTCCTGTGTCACCTATCTGCTAGACTGACTGGAGCCAAGCTCCCTGACCACCCCTTCCTGACAGAGGGTGATACGGGGAGACAAAGACTAGAGAAAGCATCTACTACCATGCTGAGCCAAGCCATTCCTGGCCCTGGGCCAGTCCCCAGCTGTAGTTTTGGACTCTTCTCCAAATGGGCATGTCAGCTGAAGGACCAGGAAAAAACAAGGTCCCTCTGACACTAGGAAAAAGGCAGCCCTAGCTCACTCTGGGTGCTGACAGCTGTGGTGGACATGCCTGACTTGGGTCATGTCTGCTCAATCCCTGCAGCTACAGATGTCCATCTGTCCATCTGTCCCCACCTCCCTGTTACTCACCAAACCTGCAAGGGCCTTCTTGCAGGCATATAATCAATGCCCAATATCCAGGCAAGCCATGCTTAGAGATAAGACGACACCAGTGTACCACACTGAGCGACTGGAGTGGGATGAATAGAGCTGTGACCAGACCCCTACAGGCCAGCCGAGGGGCAGATAAAGACCCAGGGGACCCAGCCCAGCAGACAGGGGAGACAAGGGAGTGGGTCAGTACCAGCACAACTGCAGCAGCTGGTCCCACGAAGGCATAGAGAAGTCCCCCTTCCAGGGAGAGCCAGCAGCTGGGGAAGAGACAAGCTGTCAGTACCCAGCCCCATGCCCACCAGGCAACTGGTGGCCATGAAAAACATAGGGAAACTTGCACATATTTTTTGGGTTGGCTCCCCAGGAGTCCCTATGCAGCCACTGTTACCTCCACTTACAAATGGGAGCATGACCCAGTTCAGGGAATAGGGCATGCCTTCTCAGAAGCCCTGGGGCTCCCCCTTTGCCCCCTAACCCTTTCTGGCTCTTTCTCAGCATCTCTAGCAGACCCTCCTTGCCATGAGGGTTCCTGGCCTAGGTCAACAGTCCTATGCTCACTTGCCTAGCTCTCCACAGCCCATCAGCTCCTTGGCACCGTCCATGGAACCTACAGGAGGTCAAACCCACAAAGCAGTAGTTTTCAACCTTCCTAATGCTACAGCTCTTTAAATACAGTTCCTTACACTGTGGTGACCCCAAACAAAAAAAAATTCCGTTGCTACTTTGTAACTATAATTTTCTACTATTATGAATCAAAATGTAAATATCGGACATGCAGGATATCTGATATTCAACCCCTGTTGGGGGTCATGACCCACAGGGTGAGAACCACTGCTATAGGGGATACTCAACACACTGCAGGCTTGCCCCCAGCTCTTGCCTGGGCATAGCCAAAGCTGCTTAACACACTCCTTTTCATTCTTCAGAATCCCCCATCAGTGTCTCCAACATGGTTCAGACACAGAGGCTCCAGAGCCCTATCACCTACCCCTCTGGGGCTCCAGAGTAATTTGGGTTTGCTCACACTTTCACGCTCTGCTGGTTTTAGCCACCATCCCCACCTAGATGCTGACTAGTGTGAGCCAGCCAATTGTCTCTGTTCCCCTTTCTAACTCCATCCTAAGCCTGGGGTCCTGCTTTTCCCACAGAGCTCACACTGCTTTAGATCAGCAGTTGTGAATCCTGGACTTCACCTGTGAAATTGACACCCCCCCCATAATGCCCATGGGACGGGTGCATCTGGGGTTCTCCTCAACAGCTGTACACATGGGTTGAGGACTCCAGAGGCTCATAGCCATCAAGATCACCCAGTGAGGAAGCAGGAGGCCCCAGGCATTCGTCTCATCTCCTTGCCTACAGAACCTGGCTGCCTACAAGTGAGGGAGCTGCCTAAGGGCCCACCCTCCTGAGCTGGGCTGATCCAATGCCAGCAAGGCGGGGCATCTTCCAGGTCTGCAGGAGGTTATTCCACCACCACCCCTGCCCAACTCACTAGTTCATGGTGCTGTACCCCTTGGCCTTGGTGAATCCCACAGAAATGGCCACCACCAGTGCAGGGAGCCCTAGAAGAGGACCAGAAGAAGGGTGGTCAGTCCTGCCATCCCCTGCCCGCATGGGCCAAGGGCCAAGCTGCATGAGGGAAGTCCCAAATTAGGGCATCACTACGGGGAAGAGGGGGACATGGGTAGGATGATGAGAGCTAAGAAAATGCTGCAGGACTGCAGATCAGGGGGTGAGGCATTGCTCATTTCTTCTCCATCCAGAAAGAGGGCATGGTTTTTAGAGCATGTATCCCAAGTCCTGTGAAAGATACTGTTATTTGTCCTCTGGATGCTAATGGGCCTGGTTGGGCTGCATTTTCTGGTAATCTTATAAAGTATTGGAGGCCCAAAGGGACAAGCCAGGGTGGCAAGGGACACTCTAAGAGTGGTAGGAATAAGCAGAGGGCCAGAACAAGAATGCCAAGGACAGAGATAGCCCATCATCCTACTCAGGCTGTCCATCCCCTAAAACTCTGCTTACCCCAGCCCACTGCCCACCCTCTCCCCAGCTGCCTGCCCTCACTCCTGGCCACTAACCCCAGCCCACTGCCCACCCTCTTCCCAGCTGCTCATCTATACCTCGACAGCCCTAGCCACAGTCCACCCTCACCTCCCAACCCCAGCTGCTCTGCTCACCCCAGCCCAGGCAGAGAAAGCGCTTGCGGACGAGCCGGCTCCGTAGGCGGCCAGTCACGGCCATGTAGGACTGCCAGGCCTCAGTGAGCACCCAGCAGAAGGAGGACAGGAAGAAGAAGTGCAGGAAGGCAGCCACCAGCGTGCACACAACCTGGGCAGGGGCCAAGGGGACTGGGCAGGTGCTCACTGGCTCTCACCCATCCCCTATGTGCATGTGGCAACAGCTGGGAGAAACCCAGGACCCAATGACTTTGAGACAAGCCAAGTTCCTGAGCAGGCAGCAACCTGGTCCCCACCCTGAGATGGACTACTGAAGCCCAAGGTTGACATAGGTGCTCATCCTCCTCCCCTTGCTGCCAGAAAATTGGGGCCAGGAACCCACTGAGAAGCTCCAGTCTGGGCTATCCCTCAGCAGGGATGAAACTGAGGGTCAGGGGGAGTCACACCCTCAGACCCACATCAAATCACAGGCAAGCCCATTGTGACTATGAGTTTCTGCCATGGCACGCAGCAGTGTTTGGGGTTAGGCCTTCTCTCTATTTGCAACACTTTAGGGTAGCCCTTGAAGATCCCTCCCAAAGCCTAGCCTCTGGGTCACATACGGCAGGACAGGGTACGGAGATCATAGGGTGGGAACAAGAGAGGGGTCCAAGGGAAGGCAAACAGAGGGCTCCTACACTAAGCTTCCCAGCTCACAGCTGGCCAGGGTGGGGGGCCATCTTCACCACACTTGAAAATACAAGGCTATGCAGGACAGGACAAGAGGCTGCCTACCTTGTTGCGGGTCTGGGTCTGCCCGATGAGGATGAGAGCATTAGAAGAGATGATGGACAGGCAGAAGTTGATGAGGATGACGGACCGCTCTGAGCGAATGTACCTGCGAGAGGGGTCAGGGCGTGAGGTCAGCACCTAACAGGGATCAAAGTCATGTGGCCTGTCCAAGAATGAGTGGTTCATTTCCTCCCTCAAACTACTGCCTCCATCATCACCATCATTATCATCACTGTGCCCACCACTACCAACACCACCACCATTACCGCCTCAATCATCACCACCAGTACCACTACTACCATAACCATCGTCCACCACCTTCATCACCATCACTATCATCACTACCACAATCACCATTATTACCACCACCACAAACATCAACGACAGCACTACCGCCACCATCACAACCATCCCCATGACTGTCATCAACAACGACACCATTACTGTGGCCATCACAACCCATGGCCATGGCCACCATCACTGCAATCCTCATTAATCATCAACACCTTGAACCACCACCAGCCATTGGGAAATGAGACCCACCCAGGTAGGGATCAGAGGGGTCTCAGCTAAGCTTGACATGCTTGAGGTAGGCACAGCCCTTATTTCATCTGGCCCCCACTACCTAGCCGGCCATCAGAATAGTCCCTGTCTGCAGCTCACAGGGCACAGTGATGCCATCAGTGCTCACTAAGGAAGGTGCTTTAAATGCCAAGCAGCCTCCTCTCCAGGTCAGAGTTGAATTCAGCCTGTGAGCTCTGAGCTCACGATGCTGTGAGGTCCTGAAGGGCCCACAGGTGAGAGGGAGTCCTGTGGGAAGCATTCTAGATGTTCCGTCTTTGGGAAGCGCAAAGAGGGCAGCTGGTGCTGGAGGCTGCACAGATGCCCCTCTCCCACTAGTCACATTGATCTCTTGCTGCCTGACTGCAGGCAGTGACTGGCACATCAGTTTAGATTATTGGCTACCATCACACAGGGTAGAGAACTGGAATACCCAGTTGCAGGGGCCGGCCGTCACATGGGTACCCTAGAACAGCTCTGTGTACAATGACCTTGAGTGTACCGCACTGCAAACTACTAGGTGGGGCTTGCTGGTGAGTGGGGAGAAGGCCACCCTTCCCCCACCCAGGCTCATGCCCATGGTTACCATATACCTACTGTTGGGACATTGCCCAGACACATCTGTGACCTAAGCGGGCTCCTAATGGCTTAGCCATTAAGAGAATCCACACTGTGCAATCCTCCTATACCCACACTTGCCTGGGATGTAACCGGGCTGTATCACCCCATAACCTATGCATGAGCCTAAGATGGAAATGGGGGTCCTTGCTGATCCTTGTAGCCTTAGGAGCTCAGTGCAGGAAGTTATTTCTGACCCCAGGGAGTTTGTCGGTCCAGGTATACAGGGTACACAGAACTCCAAGTAATCAAAGAATAACTGTTCTATGTGCCTAGCTGGGGCCTGAGCTCCAGGTGACAGTAGGATCTGTATGTTCAACACCCCTCACCCCCATCCTTCTTCTGTGGCCCCTGAGTGACACAGCAATCAGGAACCTGGAATAGAAACACAGGCAGCATGGGACAAAGCAGGCAGCATGGTCCAGAGTAGATGGTACAAGGGAGGGCTAGATCTCCAGGCTCTGGAGCAGGCACCCACCTCCAAACAGACACGTAGATGATGACCAGCATGAGCAGGGTGAGGGAGGACACACCACAGCCCACGATGAGCGTCACGGATGGCACGGTCGCCTTATCCATGTTCTGGAGAGCAAGGGAGACAAGGAGTGAGACAGGACCCATGACTGGAGAACAGAGGTCTGGCCAAGGCCCCTCCCACCCCAGTTCTCTGACTTTCTCTGCTGGGTTGTCTCTGAGAGCAGCTCTTGTTCCTTGCTGAAGACAAACCCTCCCCAATGTAATGACAGCCACAGGTCACACCTGACGATAGCCCTCACCTCCTTCTTGTCACAGCCCCTCAGTTCCAGGACAGTTCACATCACATCACAGGTAGGGAGAGGAGGAACAGACTCAGCCCTGCCTTCACAGTTAGCTCTCAGGCTGTGGCTCTGCACTGCCAGGGCCCCAGCATGGTGTCCACCCCACTATATCTAACTGGGCAGCCAGCCAATACCCCCAACTCCATGGTCATCCACCCCAACATTCTTCCCACAGCTCCATTTCCCACCACTCTGCCAGAGCCCCTCTTTCTTTCCCTCTGCTCTTGCAAGTACCTTGATTCACCTCCATTATCTTTGTTGTCTGCCCCAACCCCACCCCGCTGCCTTGCACAGTACCCCAAGTCCACTTCAAAGGCCACTAGGATGCCTTGTTTCTACCTCAGGGTCTTTGAGCCTGCCATCTCCTCTTCCCAAAACTCACTTTCCACCGCCACAAGACTGGGTGGGGCCTTGGCCATTCTGATCTTGCTCATCCCTTTGCAGGGGCGGAGCCCATTGACCCCACCATTCTCTACCGAATGCCCAGCACAACCCAGAGACAGCAGGCTGGCCCTGCTCATACATGGGAATTTTCACTGCAAATGATGGCACAGCCCATTGCTCACACCATAAGACATGCACTGCCCCAGGCCATAGGTCATGGGGACTCCTCCTGCCACCTTCCTTTCCCTCTTCTAAAATGAAAAGAGGCCTGAGGTGGCCTAATTAGGCTCTACCCGCAGGCTGACATAGGCCACATGCTCAGCACATCCACAGACACTCACCTACCCAATATATATACAGACACACATACCCCTGGCACAAGCAGGTAGATTTGTGCTGTCTACCATGAGTTGCCCTGGCCCTAACAGCAAGCCTGCTCTTTGTATATGCTGGGCACCAATGCTCCAGCCAAGCCTACTCCGGAGATAGGCTCAACTCCTGCTGTGTGAAATAGCAGGCCCTCTAATTACTCCAGGCCTCTGGGCCTTGCAGGAGACCTGGGTGACCAGCCTCTTGTCTCTGCATGCTCCAAAGTCTCTAGCCACAGCTGTGAAGGGCAAGTGTGGGCAGCACTACATCCTCTACAGTGGCATCACCCTGCAGACGTGAGTCCTCGAGGATCATGCACAGTCCTCCAATACTTATCTTTAACAATGGAGAACCTGGGTCCAAACTAAAAGGAGGCCAGGGGACAGGTAGGGGGGGGTGGCTGGCAAATATTCCAGAGCTCTGGGAAGGTCACAGCCAACTGAGCAAATGGCTCACACCCATGCTATGACTGGCTCCACTTTTGACCTCTATGGCCATCTGCCTTGTCTGCCCTCATTAGGTCTGGCTACTGCCAGACACCCCTAGCCCGCTTGCTCCTCCCAATTGGCTCAGGATAGGCCTCAGCTCTGCATGCTATGGGGGTGGGGGGGACATCAAAATGCCAGGTCTTATTAGCAGGGTCAGACAGGAGACCCCCAGGACAAGAAATAGAGGAGACAGGGACCAAGCTGGCCCACTGAGGGAGAACAGCTCCAATGGCAAGTTCAGCATGCCCCAGGCCGTTCCCATCACTGCCCCTCTGACCTTCATGTGACTGGCTCTTCTCTAGCTAAGAAGTAACCATATAGAAACCCTCAGAACATTCCATCTGAACTAGTCTCTGCTTCTCTGCCTATCACTTTCTCTTGAACACTCTGGATAATGGCTGCCCACCTCACCAATGGCCTGCCTTGCTTGTACTTTACACAGTTGCTGCCAATTTGCAACCCATGAATTCTCAACTCCAAGTCTCCTTGTGGTCTATTCATCTCCTAAAAAGCAAAGCTGGCTTCCTCCTGCTCTGTTCTGCTGTTATCTACAGCTCCCAAGTACTCACACATGAACCCCACCTCGGGGTTCTAAACTCACCACTCACACATACTAAGCCTTGATCTCACTCATATAAAATCTAAAGTCACCACTCACACATTTTAAGTCTTGATCTCACTCGTATTTCCACTCTGCTTCTTAACCTGGGGTACATTCTGAGTACTGATACCAGCTAAACATTGAACCTTGTTATTGGCCGAGACAGCCACTAGACCCTGATCCTGGCCAGGCTACACTCTGAACCCCGACCCTACTCACACACTGGGCCCTGATCCTGGTCATGCTGTGAATCCTGACCCTATTCATACTGTGAGTGTAACACTCTGCCTGACCCTAACATACCTGGGCCCTGACCTTACTCACACACCTGCCATCATCCTGGTCATGTACTGAGCCCTGATCCTGGTGACACACTGAGCCCTGAGATAGGTCATGTGCTGATACCAATCCTGGTTACTTACACACAGGACTATGGTCTGGTCCACTACTAGCTAAGTCTGAGGCATGTCTCAGAAGCAGCCACATCAACGGCTGGCCTCACATTCTGTTTACTATGGCCAGGTTGTGTCGGGCACCATAAACACACCGCCTAGTCCATCCACAAAGCTCAGGCAGGTGGTACCTCCCACTCACAGGTGTGACTCAGAGCAGTTACTCACCTCCTGCAGCCGCATCCCAGCAGCATCTTCGCCTACACCCTGGCTCATGGCCAGCTCCCAGCTCTCAGGTCTGTCTCCCCCATAGCATGCCTTGACCAGTTTGCAACCCCAGCTCTGGGTGCCACACACTCTACCTACCTCCACCTCAGGCCCCTTAGATGGGAGTTCCCTGAGCCACTATGTCTCAGGTACATTGTCTCTGCCTATGCTTCTAACTAGCTGGTCCAGCCCTGTCAGGCAGTGACAGGACCACCTGACTGTCTGCAGCCACATAACTCAGCCCTGACCACCTCTCTGCAGCTGGCCAAGCTGGACTTTGCTTGTTCCTGTCAAGATCCCAAGTCTCCACTGCTGGTCTCTGTCCTGTCCTTCCTGTCTTTCTGTTGCTATGAAGCTAACTGCCCCCACCCACCTTGTCTCTCCTGTCTTGACCGCATACCTCTCTCACATCCTCCATATAGCTGGTATCTCTATGCCTTTCTCACCTAAATGGGATGGCTCTCATCTCCTACCCCCAGCTAGGCTAGTGCACCCCTCAGGACCTCACTCCAAACCTCCTCTTTACATACTCCTAGATGCTGTCTTTGGGGAAAGAGGCTGCTGGCTGCTTCTGCCCCCCTCCTGACCCTCTGCTTCCCCCCCCCCAGCCTCCTCACCTCCTGTGTGGTTACTCTATCATTTGAGTACACGACCCAGTCCTGGAAGGCACAGACCACCAGGGCCTGTCTAAGCCCCTAGCCCTGGGCACTCAAATGTCAGCAGGGGCCAAGCAAGCCAGCTGGAGACCAGGAGCACCTTGATAAGGGCCCTCTCTGAAGTTCTGACCTTTCCCCCCTCAGCATCTTAAGTGGGGTCTCAACCTTAGGGCAGCCAGTATAGGTCAGGAGGGGAGGACAGAAAGACCAAGAGTGGTTCTGGGAAGAGATAAGCGGAAGCCACACCCACAGTGGTTCCCAGCCCCTCCTAAAGCCCCATACTGAGCCAATACAGGTTGTCTTCAGGGGAGTCCTGCATTTGGGCAGGTCTGATCCTATCCCACCACACTGTGAGGGAAAAGGCCCCAGGAGGTGCTGCCTGGCTCTGAACTTAGCTTCTACTGCCTTATCTGGACCACAAAGACCTGGAGCTCTTGAATGACACCCTGCAGAGACACTGTTTGTGACATAAACTGATACTAGAAGCCCTGGGGCATCATCTGTGGATGCCTGCTACACAAAGCTGAGCTGGGCAGCCCACCTCCCCCTCCCCCTAAGGGTGGCCTCATTCTCCCAATCCCAGACAACTGTCTGGTCAATTCTATCTTTGAGGCCCCCACACCCAAACACTCTGCTCACTCCAGCACAGGGACATCCCACCGGCTAAGGCTGCTCCAGGGGTCCAGCTCACAACAAGAGAGCTCCCCTAAGGGCAAAGGACCCCTGTCCTTTTAAAGGAGACTGAAACTCTAACAGACAGAAGGCCAGACCAGAATCATGTTGTGTGTAAGGAGCAAGCCGTTTCTCCGGTCTACAACTGTGACTCTGGGCTAGGAGAAAGGCAGTGAGGACATGGTCTCTGACATTGCCTGCTATTGTTTGGCTTTCATGTTCTAAGGTACAGCAGCATAGGAGACTAAACTGGACCTACGTTGCCCAGGCCCGCCTCTAAGAGCCCTGGAATGGCCATGCAGTGGCCATCTACACAGAAGCCACCGCTTGCAGGGAGTTTCAGGGGTGGCCCCAACCACTGCCCTCATCTTGCTCACAGACCTGCCAACTCAGGCAGTCCTACTGAAGGAGCTACACAGTTGGAGGGTACACAGGCCAGTACCAAGAGCCCAGGATTCACCCTAACACCTGAATCTGGCCCTTCTTGGCCTCAGTTTCCATGACTGCCGAAAAGGATGTTGGTAGTAACAAATGAAGCACCTCTGGTTCTGACCCCTGCCTCCCGCTGAGACCCCAGCTGACACAGTATACCTTCCTTACTTTCCAGAGAATAAGGGGGTGGCCAAGATTTTTGAGGTCCTGAGTTTCATCTACACGGAGTTTGGATGCTGAGAGGGCCAAGATCTGTCTGACAACATCCAGGAGAGACAAGTCCTCTCCCCAGAATCCCCCATTCCAGTCTCGGGACCCTTCCACAAGAGGGCTGGGCTGGGGACCAGAGCTCAGACCCTAGCTCTTCCCCTTCTTGGGCCAGTCTGGCCGGGGGATTCTGCAACTCCAGCCCCTACCCTCACTCTCCTGGCCTTCTTGGGGCATCAGGACAGGAAAGCCCACCAGTCTAGAGGGCTCAGCCAGCACCCAGGGCCCCAGGCAGCAAGCTGGCCTGAGATGCTGTCACCATAGAAACCAGCAGCCCCCACAAGAATCACAGGAACAAAAAGGGAGGCCCCTGAGACCATGGGGCCTGTCTAGGGACTTGGGCCAGGCCCAGCAGCCTCAGCCACCCCCAGAACCCTGCCTGGGGACACAGCCACCTCCGCAGCCCAAGCTCCACTGGGGCGGGGGCAGGCAGAAGAGCTGTGAGAAGGAGCTCCTCGTCCCCTGTTCTCTGGCAAGCCAAAGAAAGGGGTCCACAGGCCCGCCTCCCAGCCCCAGTTCTGAGGTCTCCAAGGCCCCAGGCCACCGGGAGAGTGGAGACAGGACCCTCTTGGCAGTCACTTCCTGGGGGGTCTCTAACTCCACACTGCCGCCCACCAGGCTCCCATTCACCCTCTCCAGGACTTCAACAGGCCACCGTGGCTGCCTGGCCTGGGACCCCTGGGGGCCGGGCCCTGCGCCTCCTGCCCGCCCGCACGCACGCACGTCCCCACCCGCGCCCCTTGCCCCCCGCCGCCCGGGTCTCACCGCGTCGGCGCTGAGCTGGGCTAAGATGGCGAAGGTGGAGAGCCGGTCACATAGGCAGCGCGTCCGGAGGGCGTCGAGGGGCACTGTGCGGCAGCCGCGCCAAGACCAGGGCCCGAGCTGCGGGGGGGCGGAGGAGGAGGGTCTGCGGGCGGCGGGACGGGAGACAGCGTCAGCGGCGGCGCGCGTGCCCCGCGCCCTCCCGGCCCGGCCCGGCCCGCACCTGCCGCTCGCCCACCCCGCCGCCGGGACCCGCCACCCCGGCGCCCATGGCCGCGCTCTGCACCGCCTGCCGCGCACTGAAGACGCGGAGCGCGGGCCGCGGGAGCGCGGGCCGCGGGAGCGGCGGGAGGGAGGCGGGAGCTGGCCCGGGGCCCGGCCGCCCCGCCCGCCAGCTTGCCCGGCTATGAGACCGCGCGAGCCCAAGGACCTGACGCGGGGGCGCGCGAGAGGCCGTCCCGGAGCACCCCAGCCCCACAGCCCAGGGCTCTTCAGAGCTGGTGACCTTGGGAGGGCTCCATCCCGCGCGGCAGCCTCCTCCTGGCCAGGCCGCCAGGGTGTCTGCCGCTCCAGCCCGGACTAGCGCAGCTCTCCCTGCAGGGAGCCGGCCCGCCGCTGGAAACTTCCCTCTGCCCGCTGACCCTGGCCCCTCCTGCTGCCTCCAGGCCTCCGCTGGCCCCATTTCAGTAAAGCAAAGTGCTAGCTATGTTCTGGGAGTGCCAAGGTCTGAAGGGTTCCTGCAAATACCCCCTCCTCCACTTTCTGTCGCCGCTGAACCTCATATCCCCCCACGGGGGGGGGGCTACCAATCAGACACTGACTAGAAAGTTGCCAGTGTCTATCCTTTACCCCCTCACCCTGGGACTGAGCTTGCCTTGTAGGAACTGCCAGGAGGCTCCTTTCTGGGACTCAGTTCTGTTCCTGTCCCAGCAGCATCCCAAGTGGGAGTGGTCTCTTGAACCAAGGGCTAGAAAGGCTTCACCCCTTCCCAGTCCAAAGCTTTGGGAGGACAGCCAGAGGTCCTTTCTGCACCCAGGAAGCCTTTAGGATGTAGCTTCCATTCCAAGCCAGGACGATAGCCTGGAGCCTCTTCTAGGCCACCTCCACAGTCAGTGCCAGTGGACAAGAATGGGTCTGCCTGTCTACACTGAAGGTAGGTTTTCTTTCTGTCTGGCTTCTTTCCTTGGTGGCATTGAAGAGCCGCCCTGTGCACAGTGTGCACAGCCTGACCAACACAGAGCCTTGACCCATGTATATGCATGCTAAGAAGAGAAAGACTAGCAAGATACCTGGATTCCAACAGTACCTCAGCCACTTCATACTTGTAGGAGCACAACTCCTTTCATCCCCTTGCCTCAGCTTCCTTATGTCTGCACAACTCAGTGCCTGGCTGAAATGCTGCTTCACTAGATCCAGCTGTCAGGGACCCCGAATCCTTAATTCCTGGTGACTCCTTACTTCCCCCTGATCTCAGCAACCCAGTGAGTCAGGCAGGACCAGGGATATAAGACCCTTAGCATCAGCACCTCCCTCAGGGTCCTTCTGTCCCTGAGAAAGAATTACCCCCAGAGAAACCTGATTCGGGGACTTCAGCACTGTTCTGAGCTGGGTGAGCTCTTGTCCATCCCCATGCTCGTTAGGTCACTCTGAGGTGCAGCATAGGTCAAGCTACCAGGTCCCTAGCCCAAGGATGCCAGGATTTGAGGCCAATGCTCTACCAAAGGATACTCTTTTTCCAAAGAAGGAGAAAGAATATGAAGTAGAAATGGGCCAAGGAAAGGATCGTTGCTTTCAAGAGAGCCTTTGAGCCCTGAGACCCTGTCCCATCAGAACTTAGCAGGCCCCCAAAAAGCAGCCACAGTACTAATTCCAAGAACCAAGCCTACTTCTCAGGTAGCCTTTCCCCCAGCCTGCCACCTTGGCATACCCAGCATTACACCCTGATTATAGCCCAAGGCAAAACCACATTTTCTACTGGGAAGGAGCTAAGATACAAGGGGGACAGGGAAGAGAATGTGAGTTCCACAGAAAGACCACTGCTCTGAACAGTACCCCAGATACTGCACTATCCCCAGAGATTGCTAAGATCACATTTGTGTGCCAGACATGTCTCTGTCTCCCTCCATGCCCAGTCCAGGTCAGGAGCCATAAAGGCCTGGCTGACTATACCCTCCCTCAAGGCTAGGGGTGGAAAGGGACAGTCCCATGCCACAAACAACAGATCTAACAGACTAACAAATGTCATCAGCATGCCTACATTCCAAGAAAGCCCTGTGTTCTGGGCCTGCACGCCACCATTGGTCTGTCTATGTTTTTGGCCATGGGGCTACTCTTGAGAATAATACATAGAGCTCTCGGCTATCCTACCTGCCTGATGGTTGCTGGAAAGGCTTCGGGGATAACACACTGAGACAGAGTTGGGGGAGCTGGGCCAGCAGCCTGGCAGTTTCCCAGAAGCCCAAGTCGGGTCCACAGGGCGCCAGGCTGACAGCTGCTGGTCACCACCTGGGAGTCCGCCAGCCTGAGAGCCAGTGCTGCCCAGGACCTCTGCTGTGGTATCAATTAGCTTAGCCTTCCAGGGGCAGGGGAGGAGCAGCTGCCGCCTTACCCAGCTGAGTATCACCAGGGCCAGACTCTCCAGTCCCAGGCTGTAGAGAGCAGAGAAGGCACCTATGTGGACCCAGAGAACCAGATAGCCAAACAGACAGACAGCTAGCCAGCCAGCCAGCCAGCCAGCCAGCCAGGGCAGAGGAGCCTCTGTAAGCTGCCCAGACTGCCATACGGGCCCGCCTCTGCCTGCCCACCCCTCCAGTCAAGTGCCACGTGTGTTAGGAGTATCGTGGACACCCCACGTGCAGCCCAGGGACAGGTCCTCTCCTCACCTCCCTCCCCAGCTTCCGCTCTGCTCTGAGGCTGTGTGTTTCATCTTCCATTCTCTGCCACAGCCTCAGATCAGCTTTGTAGACACTAAAGGGAAGCTGTGAGGTTGCAGCTGACCACACAGCAAGATGGCAACAGGGCCTAGATTCCAGCTCTTCTCTACTGCTGTCCCCAGCCGTCCCCATCTGAACCCTGGCTGAATGCAGATCTGATCAGAGAGCTCTGTCCGAGAAGCCACAGAGCCACCCTTGAAGCCCTGCACCTCAGCCATTTCAACACAAGGATGGAGGTTACTCTAGTGGGTGGACACTCTCATGTACCTTTGACACCCACCTGTTGAAGGTGGGAAAAAAAAAAACTTCCTTCCATAAAACTTTAGCAAGCATCTTCTTATACCCATGTCCTGATTCCCAACATCTGGAAGTTCTTCCCCAAGCCCGACTGAAAGCCATCCTGCTGCAGTGTTATCTACTCTCAGATGCAGCACACATAGGTGTCCCTTGCTTGCTTGCTTGCTTGCTTGCTGCTCCCACAGTGGCTGTTGCCACCTCTCCTCTGAGCCTCAGAAATGTGATCTGGGTCATCCAGGCATATCCTGGACTGGAACTAAGGAATCTGGGTTAGTCATACCTGCTCCCCCCACTTCCCCACCGCTGTCCTGGCAACAGGTCCAGGACTAGAGATGGAGCTGGGTCAGTGGCACCTTTTCTGAACAAAGAGTAGCAAGGGTCTGGGTACAAAACAAGGAGCCCCTTCCTGAGTAAGTGGAGGCCTGCAGCTCTCAGACAGGGTCCAGGACAAGGCCCCCAGTTCCAGGGCCCCAGGATGGTTCTGGACACTACCCACTTCTCTACTTGCCACTAATGATATTTCCCTATCATAGAAATTATATTTAGCTCCTGCCCAGGTGCGCAATGATATAACACGTCAGCACACATGTTGAAACAGTTTTCTGTCCCATCACTGCACTTCTGATGATCCCCTGGCCTAATTTAACTTCTTCTACCCCAAGCACAGGTCCTGGAAGGTCACAGTCCCCGCTGCCCTACAGGCATATCTGTAGGATAGGATACCCAGTAAGAGCCCATGCGAGTCAGGCAGGAAGGAAGGATGAAGACTGTGGATATTCCATCTATGGGAAATGTGTCCTCTTCCTCACCATAGTTCTCCTGCCTCAGCAACCTCTGTCAAGGTGGCTGTCTCCTGATGGCTAGCCTCCCCATGGAAACCTGCTGGGATCTGCCTCCACCTGGCTCCTGCATCCCAGCTCAGCTCAGCCCTCCACCTGCCACCCCACACCATTCATCCTCTGCCCAAAGACCTTCCCAGAATCCTTCCTCACATATATCCAAGGCCATACAGCTTCCCACAGTCCTACAGGACCACAGCCACACTTCAGCCAAAAACCTTAGCTTTGTGTAGTTCTTCCTAACCCTGGGAGCAGTCACAACTCCTAATGCAGCCTCCAAGCCAGTGTAGCCATCCCCCCCCCACCCCTCGCCGCCACTTCATTTGACCCTCAGCTCCAAGAGCAGAGTCACAGCCTAGTCTCAGGGACGGTGGCCCAAGAAAGGCATTATCAGCTGACTACCTAGCAACCCCCTACAGGCACCTCCAGTAGTCCCCAAAAGAGGTGTACCCAATGAGTTTGGAAGACCCCGAGGGGATAGCCCTGCAGCTGGCCACACACTCAATTTCTGGTCCTGTTGTTCTCTTGGTACTGGCCAGGCCAGGCCAGGCCAGCCATAGAAGGAAGATGTGAACAGAGAATCCTGACCCTACCCTACTTGAATCTCCGCTGCCTGCTAGGCAGTGGGTATACAGTTACCTGTACTTGTTCAGACAATAACAGAGCCTGCAGGGTCTGTGTGCTCGAGGAACATGAGGGGACAGTAAGCAGAGAGTGCACGGAGCCCACCTCCTACCCACCAAACAAGGGCCCTCGCTGCATCGTGATGCCTCCCGCCAGCCCACGAGCAGGTGCTATTATAGGACTGTGCCTGTCGGGGTCCCCTTGGATCTGATGGGCTAATTCACACCCCAGTATGAATGACTCATAGGGTATCCACCCACACGGTATAAAACAGCCAGGAGTGGGCACAGCGCACCCCAGTGGGGGATCTTAGGTTCTGGGTAGGGGTGGGACTGAAGCCTCTGCAGTTGAGGGGTTCTTAACTGTGCCTTGCTGATCCTTCATGAGCCAGCCTCGACCTGCACCCCAGAAATCAATTCCCAGGTCCATCTCCACCCCAGGTCCCAGCCTGT